TTAGATACTAAAAAAAAATCGGTTAAATCCTAATTTGGTCCAAACTGGCACATTTTTGCGCGAGTCGTACTCGGGACGCACTGGGCTCTCAACTTCTGAAGTTGGTAGAGTAAGAGTTCAACTACTGTAGGAATTTTAGGTTGTAACATTGCGGTTAAGCAATGTTACGAAAGCACAGGCACAGGCATGTAGGCGTAACCTCTAGTGATAGAGCAATTTGGTGAATTTAGTTTAAAAGAATGATATAGAATATTTGAAAGTTATGCAACCACGAATTTTTTATGAAATTGATATTTACACCGATTGACACTTATCTTAAACGCCCCCAGTAATGATGCATTTGTCTTTTCAAATTACAGTCGTGGATTGTGGTAATATTCCGTTGACATCAGAAATGATTACATTTTACAATTCAACCATATTTGGCAGCGACGTTAGGTATGTTTGTCCGTCTGGTTATACAAGAATCAATGGAATGAATACAGTTGTTTATACGTGTGAATCTTCTGGACAATGGAATTCAACTGATATGGAGGACTTGTTATGTCCTCGAAGTAAGTATTACTATAGCGAAACAGTAACTTCAACAAGAAAATGAAATCAAAAGGACCCGATGTTAAAAGTGTTGTTCATCTAATTGGGTTGAAAAAGACACATCTATGCAATCGACTTCCTTATGTATGTCATATGTCTGTCTAAAAACCAAAAAACGTATCGAACATAAGAATTTTAAAACGGAATTTGAATGTATCCAACCCCCTTCATTTATTTTAGGACATTTATTACAAATACTGGTTGAAAGTATATCTTGGAGAAATGCTTACCATTAATTCCAACACTAAAAAAACGAGATTTGATTAAACGGACCCCTTTTCTATAATGAAACAAATTATGACAACTAACATTTTGCAATTCAGTGAAATGCTATAACAGTTTCTTCATACTGGTGCATATTGTTTGATGACCTATGAATGAATAGAATCCAGATAAAGAGAAAAGATTTATACACCAGAACACATGAACGAATGACACAGATTATCAATTTAAATATTGTGTTAAAGGCAAAAACATACAGCAAAAAATATCGATGTCGATAATTGATAATGTAATCCATCCATTGACCATTAACGGATAAGTTTTAAATATGGTCTCAAATTTCTAGAGTAGAGCAAACTAGAGCAAAAGACAGCCAATGGAATAGGGAAAAATATTAATGAACTCTTCAAAACATAAACTACCGGGCAGGATTTACTATGATATATTTATAAATATAAATTCATTTCCTTGATTTAAAATTAAAATGTATTGTAATGCTGATATTTCATTCTCCACAATACACAAAGGAAGAGTCAAAGGGTCAAAAAAAAAGTACACAAATTCGAGTTTATTTCAAAAAGTAAAAGAGTCCATACCATGCCACGATAATCAGGTAACCTGTCATCAATAGCGAGTGTGGCCGCTCCGGGCAGTCATGCACGCCATAACAAGTCTCTCCTCATTGACGTTTTTAGTCGGCGGATAACGTCATTAGGGATGTTGGTCGGGAAGCGGTTGAATGTTCTGGCTTTATGACATTGAGTAGCCCCAATATTGGCAATACTGTCTTGTGGTTCTGCTCGTTTAACTTGTAAGTCTGGGCATATTCTTGGTGTGTGTTTTTCGTATTGAATGTTTGCTATTTCCAACGTCGGTATTTTTACCACAATCATGCACGTGTATTTGGACCAATGTCTCAAAATCACGCTTTGCACGATTTTAACAATGCAGGATGTTGAAAGTTGCGTTCGAAAATCTGCGATGTAGTAGAGGTCATGTTAAATTTGGGCGAATGTTTTCTACAGGGGATCAAACATGTACAAGCTTTTTGGCTTTTTACAACTGCTTTTAAAGTGAAAACTTTCTTTTGCCCGGTAGTTTATTATCTTTGATTATAATTTTATGTTCTTTACATGGATAACTTTGAACTCCTTACTATCGAAGGAATAATGATGCATTTCATACTTCACATGGCAATCTTTATGAATAACGAACAGTATAAAGTGGGTGAGGTCTTTTTCAAGTTAGAGTTGTTTCTAATATGTAAACCATAGCGTGAATCCATACTGATAAACCCAAAACTACGATATAATTTATTATTTTATGATTCTGAGTACACAATGTCATATTACTCATAATTACCACCACTTATTGATATCTGTATTTGAAAGTAGCATTCGCCAGATTTAACAACAAACAAAAGTATCGGTTGGTTTGTATCAGTAATCGCCAGATTCTCCTAAACAGTGTTGGAACCAATTGGTCACCGTATTTTAACCTTGTAATACTTCAATCGCAATGTTGTAAGAACTATAAACTTTTTTCTTTGTATATCAGAAAATCCACCTTGTTCACAAAATATTGAATTTTTTTAATAATTTCTTTTAGGGTTCAAAACCTATTACGGATGTTTTGATGTGTCGCTGTTTCAAGCAACCAACCAAAGTTTTGATATGGTATTTGACTGTGTCAACTATTGTAGGAATAATGATTTTTCTTTTGGTGGTATGATGATTGATAAGTGCTATTGTAAAGATGACATAGCCTTAAAAATGGAACTTAATAATTCAATATGTGATACACCTTGTAGTTCTGGACGATTTATTTGTGGTGGACAAGGAGTTGTAAGCACTCATGTAACATACGGTAATAGTCTTGAATATTTTGCCTGTTTTCGAAATAAGGTTATATTGAGAACACTTTTTATGAATGCGTAAAATGATTCCCGAAAATCTCTGTCGACTATATCAATATTAATTGATGACTTCTACTTTAACAGTTAAGACAGTCAAGAAATATATATGTTGTCAAGGGGAGGGTTGACTAAAATGATAAATAAAATACAATACAAAAAATACTTCGGTCTCAAATACTGTTGGGAAGGTCGACAGGCTTCCATGAGTCCTTTGTCTAGAGCCTGAAATATTCCTGAGCATAATTGGATTTGGACAATTGGGAATTTAATCATAAACCTTTATTTCTTTTTCAGCTGGATGTTATAGGTTTGCGGAGGCCATAACATTAGAGTTTAAAGCTGATGGAAACGTGTTGCAGTTAACCTGCGTGGAAACTTGCCGCGGGATACGGAAAAAATTGGCAATTTATATAAATGGCAGGTGTAGTTGTAAGGATGGGTTCAATTACCCTGTCGCCACATGGAATGGCTGTGCTACTGCTACGTTCAATGATACCATTACAACAGTAGATTCAGCTTTTATTATGACTGTTGGTGAGTCCAACTCATGTGTGATGGTTATTGACATAAGACTAAACAAAAGAAGACAAAATGCATATGAATGCCCTAATTGGTTTAAATAGCACCGAGCGATATCATTTTAACAGTATGAAAAGTACACATCGGAACAATCTTGACTGACCTGTATTGCTATTATCACGGATTTGTTTTGTCGGTTCTGATGTGTATTATAAAATTCATTTCAGCTAAAACAGGACCGATATACAGAGACTGCGATGCTTTATATCAAGCTGGTATTCGTCGTCATGGTATATATATTTTACAAGATGGAACTAATGTTTCTTGTCATTTTAAAGGTGAATCGAACTTACGTACTCTGGCGTTCATATTCAGTAACTACATTATCAACAAAGGAAATATCTACTCTTTCAATGAAAGATCATAGGCAGATCTATGTCAAATTGTCGGCGTGTGTCGCTTGCATGATGAATTTTTGCCCAGAACATCAAATGCCACACAGCGACCGGATCTGTCAAATCGGTATCTTTATGGGAGTGCACATATAGAGTCCTTTTAGTTAATATAATATTCTATATGTATATTTGTATAAATATTCATCCTTTAAACTTTATCGCCCGGGAGCCTAAAGCATGTTCGTCAACCTGAAGATTCCAGGCACAGTACCTGTTCCTGTCTCGTCAGATTTTAGGATATACAATTAAAATATTTTGATATCTCACGTTAGTTATGCAGTATCATGTAAATATAGATAAATAAATAAATAGTTCCATGTAGATTGTAGAGGCGCGATGGAAAACCCCCTTACGCAATTCGTTGTGTATTGTAAAGCAGGGTAATTAAGGAAGTTGCCAGTGACCAATGCAATACTAAAATTTCACATTACACATGCAGTGCGTCTTAATTAAGTTACAGAGTACATTCGTTTTATTCTTTTCAACAGATGGTACAATTTGTCCAACCAGTTGGCTAGGTAACGGTGGTAATTGTTATTATTTTGATATAACTAAAAGATCACCAGGGGCAGCTCTACAAAACTGCTTGGAACAGAATTCATTCTTATTATCGATAGAGTCTAAAGACGAAAATGATTTTATATCTGAGGCATTGAACAGTAAGTTGAATAATTCCTTTGATTCATAAACGAATGGCCATTTTAACAATTTTACAGAATATCCGTTTTTAAGGCTTCTTCTTTTAATTTACCCAAGCTGATATTACTTAAACATCTTAAATTAGTATAACATCGTGTAAGAATTTCAAAACTGAAAATTACTAACACAACAATATTCATGTGATATCTTTATTTCAGCATTTTCTGATTTTGAAGAAAACGAGTGGTTGATGGGGCACTATGGAATAGGAGTTCAATACCGAATGTTTTCGGATGGCAGCTTGACACTTTATCACAACCATGATCCCAAAATATCAACCTTAGATCGAAATTGTACCGTTTTGCGGAAAAAATCTGACGGAGAGGTTGCATGGACTCCCAGAGATTGTGGTGACTTACATAAGAACTCCATCTGCAAAAAGGCAGAAGGTATAAGCATTTGTTGTTGATGTTCCTTTATTTTAGTGTTAATGATTCATATGAGATATTTTGTCTTCAAGAAATAGCATTGCCGATGAGCAGCTTGATATTTGTAAAAGTATAGTTATAAATTAAGGTCAAGATAACTTTTGCTTTGAAATATCAATTTTAGGTATTTGTCTTTTGTTCTTTACAGACATTGTGTAGATGGAATCTACGTGGTACCCCAAACCACATACTTGAATCTTCATCTGCCATTTTATCCACTTGGTAACCTTGTTGTACTCTTTTGTATTATTTTTTTCAAATAAATCTGATTTTGATGTTACATTAACGATTTGCATTAGCTTCATTTTTTTTTATTCAGGACAAATATGTACAACATTAGATCCAGTGCCTGAATTAAAATTTACCCGAACTGATATGACATTGACCTG